TCACTCCCAATGTTGCAGCCCCCCTATTGCTCTCGGCGAGTATGCATCTTAATCACACACAACCTCTAGCCTGTAGCCTGAGCCAAACATGTTTGAGCGAGCATGTTGGCGCGCGACGTATCGAATCCTGGCTTCTCATTTGACCCTCAATGACGGGTGTTGCCGCCACGGGCCGTTTGACATGGGCGGTAGTTTGTGTAGTCTGATTCGCCGCCAAAAACAGCTAGATGTCAAGGTTCTTTACCAGCCGCCTTGATTCAATCCAAATCATGATCTGTTTGATGTTTATTTAAGCATAATTAGCCCAGATTGTTTGAAACAGATCTCAGAGTTGTTTAGAGTGCTTCATTATTGACTTACCAGTTGTATCATGGGAACAGGCCCGCTTTGACATTATATCTGTTAACACGGGCTAAGTGAGGTATTTCTCTGATGACACATATTTCGAAATTAAATTGTCAGATTGCTTGCCTTCGGATATATATGCCCCTCTGTTAAGTACGTTTTGGCACGGCTTTGTTACTTATTAAAACTTGGTGCATATCGAACATAAAATCGGTTTTCGAAGGAATGCGCCGAGGGTATCGCCAACTCGACGCAAGCAGTCTTCTCGATGCGACCGCTACCTTGAACATCAGAAGTCTTGTTTTTTCATGCTTTTAATAAGTCTTGGTTAATGAGTTTTATACCGATATTTCAGCCGAAGGCAAACACAACTTCGGTCTGGCCGAGGCTCACGGCATAATGGCGCCGTGAATCCATCCCTTTTCGAAGACAAGGACGCTGCCGAGTATCAGTATCGCCAATCCAAAGTGAGAACTCACATGCAAGGCAAAAAAGGCTTTGTGCCTATAAGTTAGTGTGATAATCCGATATTTTATCCTCACCGAGTTCCACTAGGCTTCCTCTCACCAGCCAACGCTAACACAAATGGAAACTTGAGTCCAAAACTTAGGTGCAGTGATGCAAAATCATCGACGGTTGTTCATTGTGACCTTTCTCATCTAGAAGTCTTGTAACTTGAAGTACGCGAAGAATCCGAACCCTGCCAATCAGGACCTTCGCTCAGGTTGCGTAGGTTATCTCGAGATGTATCTTGGACTCCTACCTATGCAAAATATCAATAGTCCTCCTACATGTCAACATTCAAATCGTTCGCGGATAGAAATACCTCTTATCGGAACAAAGTGGGTGGTAAAGCTGATAATACTGAGTTTCTCACGAAATATATCCCACATGCGCAACACATCCAGCCGTGGGCCTCGTCTGTCGGGCGTGTTGGAGTATACGTCACTCCTTCAGCAGGAACTTGTGGGCCAAAGTAAAGGCAACTGACAAATAATTAGCTCCTCCCAAATAGATGACAATACATCAGCCTTGTCAGTCGGATTGCAATTCTCCAAGAAGCATTCGCCGCCGCCGCCGCCGCGGCAGCCGCGGCAGCCACGGCAACTACCACAACACGATGATCATGATCTTCATCAACGGAAATGAAAACGCAAACTTTGTCGGATGCTGCTTTGCTTATCTTCTGCTACCTATTATTTCATCTCAGTCCTACCCTGCCTGATATCGAACTATCAGACTTGTTGTGGGCTTAGTCAGGGGAGCCCAGTTGATATGACTTACAGCCACCACCAACATGCGACGTAGTCAGATTGACGTTATGCCCGTAGAGCACGATGATGGAAAATAGATCTGATCTGCCATTGACGCGCGATGTTTGATCCATGGAGAGCGATGTCAATGCACCAGGTAATCCCGCGAACGAATAGACGTGGGAAACCTACCGCAATGGGGATCCCTCAGGAATCGTGGCTTGTCATGACAGGATGACAGCAATGAGGGGGAGGGTCTGGACATATGGGGACTGGATGGTGGTGTCTTGGGCATCAACCGAGTGCAAATGGGCGTGAAGACGCTTCCCAATATTTGTTTGTAAGTGCTTCGATGCAGATGGACAACCCAAGCCCGTCCACATCGACACAAAAAGATGATTCCCGAGAGCCTCAGTATTATCCACCACTATTCGCTCCGAGATGGGAAGGCAAGTTTACCGCTCGATATGCGGCTCGATTTCTTGCTTCTTTGTCCCTCACAACACGTAGAGTAGCAAACCATGGACCACTAAGGCACAAGTCTTTCTTTGCTCAGTGTTGGTTGGTCTGTCGGCTTGGTTTGCATCCACGACTGTCCATGACTTGTCTGTCCAGTGGCGAGCTCCTTCGATGGCTCTCGGACGCCCATGCAACAACAACAACCATCTAATGGGACACTCGCCCCCAACATAAGTAAAGGAGCCGTCGGTTGCACGCTGCTGCTCGGCGAGCACCTTTCATGGGTGTAATATGAATTTGTATTCGGGATTTGGGTCACGACCCTGTGATGATGACATTCTCGGTCTCAGCGGTGCTGATGACCTTCAATCACTTGTTAGTTCACAGGCGTCAAGAGTTTCAATTAGTAGAATATATGCGGCACTTAGACAGGGATTGGAAGGGTAGGTCGAGGCCATTTGTCCTGCAAAGGCACCTTCCACCAGGAAGACCAGAACGAACACCATTGTCATGTACTGCGTTTGTGCAAATGCGCTTTGTACGGGACACAGATAAGGTACATTGAAAATATCCTGCGAGAGGTGTGAAACGGGACGGCCGAATTCTGGACGAAAAGAGGCAATGGACGGGCCAAATCGATGGTCTCACACTACCGCGCGCTCGTTAGCTAGGAGTGTGACATGCAGTCCTTGGTTTGAGAATCAGAGACTTGGGGTAATTTGGACCAAGATGACGCTTCACGAACCGCTCGGTGATGGTGGCGGGCTCGCTGAACGGGGCCTTGGTCAGATCGTGGGTAATCGTGAGCCACAACAATGGCCATGCGGACCAGCCTTAACCGCCTTAAAGATTGGCCAATGTCAACGAACGGATGCATTGAAACCTAGGGTCCGGTCAGCCACGCCCGCATGCAAAATGTAAAGCATACGAAAGAAAACGACGGTCATTATTTCGAAGGCTTACCGTAGTGGATGCGGTCATCAGAAAGGCCAGCGGCACCGTCCATGAGAACCGCATGGTTGATTGCACATGTTTGGCGGAGAGCAGAGGTTAGATTCCAAGTCGAGAAATGCCAAGGTTCATCTGTATCGACTGGCTGCAGGGGAACGACGGGGGACACGAAAGGCGTCAACTGGTGCAAGACGAGCGGGCAACGTCTGGCTGGCTGTTGTTACCTTGGAAGGTGCCACGGTTGTTCTTGACGACTTGACTTTTAGAAAGGGAAAGAAGCCCATCGGCTACAGTGCACTTAGGACGCCGACACGCAGGATGGAGAAGGATAAAAAAGCCAAGAGCTCCCGCATCAACAACTCTGATGTCGTCCAAGTTTCTGCTGTATAACCAAGAACTTATCATAATGGCCCATCCTTTCATTCTTTTGTTTCTCTTTCCCAACTAAGAAACTATCGAACAGCAGGCCTACGCCACTACGAGTAAATAGAGTCTCCTCTTCAGCACTCGAGCTCCTATCACCAAAATATTGTCCCGTCTCGCCCGCATCGCTTCATCAACCTCTCTTCTATACATACTCTGGAACAATCAACAACATCCTCTCCGCCTCTAGTTTATAACCCGTCAACAACATCTCTCCAATAAACTTCGAAGACGATATCTCGCCAAGGTTACTCTGTCAAATTTACATCGGAGACTACCCATCTTTTCCATCTCCATCAGACCATCTATACTCCTCGGTACAATCCAATCGGCTCTCGGCTCCTCGTATTCTATCCGCCAGGGGCTTACGAATGGTTCAAGAGAAAGCTTAATACTCAGCGAATAAAGCTATCTGTCTCAACCTATTGGGAAACCGGTCCAGCCAACCAGAGTTTGGGGCCTCGCTTGTTTCCTGTGAGCATCGTCATCGGCAAATACCATCGACGCTTCCTTGCCGGCTTACTAGCTTGTGAAGAATCTTGTGCTAGCCCAAGTATCGATATCCAATAAGACGTCAAGGTCAGGTTAAGGACTTTCACAACCATCACGCCTCCTTGTCGAATCACACTTGTCGCGTGCGACTCGAGGGGCCGGAAGAGCGCTACGCAGTAGATCTCTCGGCAGCAGCACGGTTCCAGCGACCAGTACCAGCGACCAGCGACCAGCTGCAAGCAAAGCCGCCCCGGCACCACGAGGCTTTTTGGCGGTCCTTGCGCCTGTCAGGTCAGCGTGACGAAGAGAACCAAAGACTTGCATCTCCCATCACCTGCTCAAGCACCCGAGCAAGCGGTGTCTGAAGCTTACAGAAGCCCATACAAGGATACGTCTGGCAGATCCCACCACCACCCCTTCCATCTCCACCCCTTCCCGTCACGGTACACCCCCTCCTCACCCCTGTCGACCATCGAAAGTGTACATTGTGTGCTGCCCCCCAGTACTCTCTCCCTTGGTGCGCTCATCACTCATCACCTCAGTTCCAAGCCCTGGAAATCAAAGCCGCAACACGGCGCTTGGTTAAGAAGGACACTTGCGCTACTGGTCGTGTTTGATCCCCACAACATCTCCTCCGTAAATTGTGTCCTTGCCCGCGACGCCCTTGTCGTCTTCTCGCGACCCTCGTCCAAGCTAGGAGGAGGGCCCATCTGACACCAATAGCCAGTCCGTCGGCGCATAATATCCAAAACACGGCGCTGTCTTTGCCGCCAACAGGCCCGAACACCAAGACGCACGCCTGCTCCGATCCATTTCACACCCCTCCCGCTCCCAGTCTTGTCGTCCTCTCACTGCCTCACGCTGTTGACTACAGTTCTCTCACCTTATAATCAAACGCTCCTCGGGACTACCGCCCACCTCAAGACTCTCCCAGGTCATCAACATCTCTTCGCCTCTTAGGCTGCTCTCGTTGGCCTCTTTTTCTCGTCGCCGACTTCGTGGCAAGCCTACCAAACCTGGGGTTTTATTCAGCCTGGAGGTGTCACCCGACGACGTGTATACTTATTCTCCTTCACTATGCCTACCACAAAGCCCAAGCTGGAGAAGCTCTCCACGCCTGTAACGGCGACATTTCCCTCAGAAATTACATCTGCAACCACGGCTACTCCTCTTTCTGCTTTGAACTTTATGTCTAAGCCAGAGCCGGATTTTATTAAGACGCCCATTAGTCCACCATCCGCTTACACAGACTTCTTGTCGAAAGCAATGGCTTTGAACTCACCGTCCCTCACGCCCGGAGACTCTAGCCCCGACTCTACAAAGAGCAATCCAGAGACAGAAAGAGCAAATCGTTCGAAAACCGAACGATCCTCACCTACCTCTACTGTTAGCAGCAAACCGTCTCCTCCCACAACAGCACCCGTCGTGCCTCCCAGTCCATTCACAACCTCAGCCCCAATGTCTGCTCCGCCGACTGGTCCAGCTTCATTTCCAAGCTTGAAACTGCCGCCAAGCCCCGCCATATCCAATATCGACTCACCATTGAGCGCAAGCACCCTCCGTTCACCTTTCAGCGCGAGGTCTGTTCATTCCGTCTTCGACTGGGATGCTGCATTGAAGGCTCGGTTCTCGGACAAGAAGCAAACGTCTTCACGCACAAGCGTTCGACATATACGGGAAGTTGTTACTAGAACTGTCACTTACACACCACGCATGGATCCTGCCCCTAGAGGCAAGAGACGGAAGGTGGAATGAAAAGCCTGCAGATAGCCAAGGCAATTACTACGATAACAACGGGAAATCCGATTTACGACGACAACTATGACGACAACCTGGCATATGGTTCCGGGAATCAAATGACGACGCAATCGAATCGGGCGCTGGCGGCCCCTTGGGACGCATGATGAACCCCCTTTTCTAGTCGCCATTCCTTCTATATTATTTTCCATGGACCAAGGAAACGGCTGCCTTATTTGACACTTACGCGAAAAAGAAAACAATCTTGGATGTCTGTGCGCGTAGGTACGACACTAATACTCTAAGCAAGCTGAATCCACGGCTGAAGGATTACTATTCTTATTCATACCCTGGGCAGCACATGGGCTCAGATTGCAAAGGGGCTCTCACCAATTCTGACTATTATTTATTTTATTTTATTTTTCACTTTTTTTATGCTGGACGGGAGGAGGGCCAATAAAGGACGTTTCTGGGATATTTTGGCATATGCGGGAGGCTTGCTTTTGATTGGGAGGAGTTTGTGGCGTTTCTACAAAGTTGAGCGTTGGCTTAGGATCTTTGTTGACCTTGCACAGGTAACATCGGAATACGTTCGATACCACAGCGTGGAAAGGATGGTAGTAAGTGGGCCAGACGAAGGGCAATGGGGAGGGGGCAAGGCAAGCAGGCGCATAGAGTGGCGCAAAGATGATATAGGGCAATATACCGCTAAAATGATTGTAATGTCCCTTCGCAGTCAATGTGCATAGTCACGCTCAAACCATGAGCTGTGATAAGTGAAGATAACAAGGCGTCACCTGCATGTCGGGTCATGGACGAAGCAGTTCCTTTCCCACCAGGGGTGGAGATGGTAGCGGTAACCAGCATTCACGACATGCAGCCGAGGGAATATCAGAACCGGCCATGGACATTGTTTATTTATTACACGCTTTACGTAGTCTGTGTATGTACGGAGTACTAGGCCGCCAAAACAGGTCTGTGTAACCTGGGTCATTGCGGGAAGGCCGCATAGTCGAGGCCGAGCCGGGTGTAGGGACTAAGACACGACTAATAGAAACGACGTGGCGGTTGACATTGCTTTACCTACTTGCCCAGCACCGATAGTCGTGCAGCCTATTTTGCAGTTCAATGATGGTCCTGTTTCTGCCCAGATGTCCCATCCCGGTCGAGGATAAAAAGAGCAACAGGGAACTCCAAACGTACACGGAGAAGTACGTACCGGCCACGGTGCTGTTTTCTTGCCGCTCTGCGGGTTAAAAGAAGGGGGGGGGTTCATGTCGAGGCCTTGCAAAACACCCATGCAGGTTTCATTATACGGACTTTGCTGGGTTATCTTATTATTTTGAATAATGCGGCGATTCGCGCTCTTTTTCCCCCCCCTCCCGGTTCTGTCTCGACGGTCGAACTGGGTCGACAATGGCGCCAGTGGTAGTCGGCCTACCTGCGTCGTCAAAGGGTCGCATATTGGGTCGCCATAGTGGACAGCGGCAGCAGCCATGCGAGCTCGCTGCCTGCGGCGGTTCAGTCCGTCCCGGCTGACCGATGGGATGACCTTGGAATCAGAGGGGGAAAAAAGAAGGGACAACAAGTATGGGCTTTTTGGCCGGTTGTGTTTTTTTCCTGACCTTTAGCGGCGACGTATCAGATGGCCGCCTCTGCATTAGGCTGCGGTTGTCCTTTGCATTACAACGGGGTTCAGTTGTGCGCGTTGACGGCGAAAAAGACTTTCTGATAATGGCCCGCGACTCCCCCTCGTGTTTTCTCTCCCGCTGGCGCTTCACTCCGTTTTTCTGCCTTCTCCAAAGGTCTTTTTCCCCCCCTTCCCATCGAGTAAGTGCAAGTGTAAGTAGGTTTCTATCGTGGACATGACGCCAGCATCACTGCTCCCACACCACTGCAGTTCTCGACTCACCCCCCCCTTTCCTTCTTCCGGCTTGTTCTCTGCCTTCTGCCCCTCCCGGTCGTAGTTGCCTTTTGGAGTTTTCGAGCACCTCTTGTCACCAGGTTGGAAGGCTGGGGCAGTCGAGCGCCAGCACACCCCCCGGAGAAAGTTGAGGGGGACTCTCTGTGATTGGGGAGGGTCCGGGTTTCCCTCAGTCCGGGTCTGCGGCTGCTTAAAAGCTAGACCCAAGCGTCAAGTGGTTTCCGCTGGGCTGGAAATAAATACGTGTGTGAAGGAGAATTGAGAAACAAAGAAAAAGGAAAGGCCATGAAGACATGTGGGGCCTCAGCATTCTAAGCGCCCGGAGAGAGAATGGACTGGTCCGTTGATTGGCTGTCGCCCTGGTGCCTGTCACCCACCCGATGGTGTCGGGGGCTGTGATTGGCCGGGGTCTAAGCGCCGTGATGTGGGTGGGAGCACTGCACCCATGCATGCCGCGAGAATGGAAATGGTTAAAAAGCCTGGGATTAGGTGTTTTTTTTTGTGCTGAGAGAAGTTGGCCGATGAATTTTGTGGAAGGGGGTTCATGCATATATGGCTTTGATAGGAAGAGGCATAATTATATGAAATATGCTCTGTTGTGAGGTGTGGATATTTCTTGATGGGATGAGGTTTTATTTGGGACAAAAATTGTAGCACGATGCTTTTCCCTCTCCTTTCGTCTATCAAGATGGAGACGTTGAGGTTGCTTCGATCTGGGGACGACATTAGCTAGTGTACTCCGTGGCCTTTTCTTCAAGTGCTGAAAAGAGACGAGAGGTGTGATTGAGGCCTTTTTTTTTTTTTGGGCCGCCGGGGGGGGGGCTGCTCTCTGTGAAATGCCGTGTTCATGCGAGGACGATCGTTGGAGGGGGTTGCGACGGGCTAACTTGTCGCTCTGTACGGAGTAAAGGTTATGAATGAATTTTTTTTCCCTCGGCTCGAGTGTAGCAAGTCGGTGGCTTTGTGAGGCAATGAGACCTTGAGCGGGGTAGAAAACGCCCCGCGATCCGAGGGAATGGTTCCGTCCTGTCATGTGTGTCAGAGGCATGGCGAGGAGTTTGCACTTGGCGCCGTGATTCTGATATTGGTAGTCTGTGCGCTTTTCCACATCTCGTTGCGATTAGTATTTGGCCAGCTGTTTAACATTTTTGAATATAGCAGTTTCCTTCCTTTTCCTCACACTATACGTATGAGATTCACGATATCCAGTCGTCCATTCTCTTCCGTGATGCAGACCCATCATGTCTTCACAAGAATGTCTCTAAGCAACCGCCATGCCTATCTCGATGCATGTCCCAGTCTATGCCGTGGCCAAGTTCCCCGTCTGTATCAAACAAGTAACGCACAACTTAACCCACTCACCCAAATCAATTTCACATCACAACGCATCACGTCAACACGCCAACGATGCCGGCAAATCTTCCAATACCCCGTCCCCGCGGGGCCAACCCTCTTCTCCGCCAGCTCACCAACATATATTGTCTGGTCCTTATGTACATCAACTCCGGGTTCCTTATCCCACGCTAAGTCGAAGGACGAGGTCACCCCCGGGCTGATTCCTTAGCGGGGTGATGTGGCAGGGGTTCCTTGCCTCAAGTCCTAGATTCGTCCAGTGTCCTAAAACCCAGGCGGCTAAGGAGAATCCCCAGAGCAGGCCTCTGAAACGGCCATCTAAACAAATGTTCTAAAAATGGTACATGTAACAGCTAGAAACATCATGGAATATTTTGACATGCGTTCCTCGAAATTTAGGGACGTCAGATAGTTTTGCTTTTTTTTTGGTGCCAGTATTATGCATTGCATGCTCATGAACGAAATGAAGCGAACATGGTGATGAAACAGGTTCTGGTGGTATGGTTCGCTGTGGAGTTTTGCTGGCCCTGGTTGCCATTGGTTCAAGGCGACGGTTTTTTTTATAACATGGGTCTGCTGCGTCTGCAACTCCGCTTCCATCTCACGAGTATCTGTCTGGGTATTGTTAATGTTGCTAGGGTGCTTAAGAGAAAGAAGAAACAAGGTTTGCGAATTGCTTAACCCACACAATAGGTCAGAGCGTCTGATACAAAAGAACGGTTGGTCTCTGCAAGGCTTGTTCTTGGCTACCATTCCGTCTCTCGGCGGATTGGCGGCAATTATCTCCACTTCCATCATGGAACTGTGCCAATGTGTCTGGCTCGACTGTACAATTACAGTTTGTGCATAGCCTCCGATGGAGAATCTGGCAAAGCAGAATGTACTCTCGAGTCGTCATTATGCATGCGCTATACATCAAGCACAAGCAAGTATAGGTCGTACAAGACATTGTCAGTCAGCTTCACAAGGTTTGTGCTCATTGCCGTCGTGTATACTCCGTAATCAATCCACTTCTCTCACCTCCCTGGCAATGGCATTACACAAAGCCACCGTAACACCAGCGCCAGTAAGGACATGGATCCACAACCGCTGCGTATCGCTCAGCCGGTCGTTTGCGCTCTTGACTTCTGCAAACATGACTTCGCCTCTCGGTGCTTCCGGTCTGCTTGGGACTCCTTCAGCTGACTGGTCATTTGCCCGCCAGAGGATTAAATCTGGCACCCCTCCCCCCCGGTGCTTGTATTCCTGGGCCATGACTTTGCATATGGCTGCTAGCGCACTGCCTTTGAAGCACCGTATCAGCTCCGCCATGTCGTCCACGTCAAAGTCCCAGTTTAAACCGACGACACTGGTCCTGCGCTCGTGTTCTCTGTCCCAGACTTGTCGGAGGAGCCATTCGCCCTGTCCGTTGGCTATTTCGACGAGGCGGTGGTTGATTTCCGATGCTCTGGCGGCGAAGAAAGCATCTGTGTGCAGGTCCAAAGGGCAGGTCTGGTATTCCGTCTGGAACACGTTGGGTATGTAGAGAAATAGTATATCGTAGAAAAGATATGCAAAGATGGTGCGGATAGCTCCCCCTTCTGCGTGATATCCCTTCCAGCCTTGGGAACGGAAGTGGCTCAGGCACATCTCTTCCACGCTGCACTCGCCTCCAGTATCCAGTTCGTCCAGCCAAACGGTCTTGGTTGAAGCCTGTTGGGCGCCAGGTTTGGAACTCGGGGGCCTTTTCAACTGTATTCCTTCGACATTGATTTCGAGGGGTTCTGCCAGCCGGACGTGTCCAAAGTCATGCTGTAATCGACGTGGAATTCGCAACTTCCTTTCGAGCTTGATGAGTCGTTTTTGAAGATCATAATGATGAATCAGATGGCAATCCGGGTCTTGTAGCGCCGATTCACAGGTTGCAACAGCTATTCTTTTCCACTGCTTCTTTCGCTGCTCCAGATCCCCAGACCCCCCATCATCACGCACAGTGGGCATGTAGTGCTCCTCCAGCAATGCCTTGCGTTGATACCATGAGCCTCGTCGAGACAAGTGAAACAATTTCTGGTCTAACAATTCCTCAAGGAGTTCATACTCACGAGCATATTCTTTCCGTCTCCCCATTACCCACATAGCCTTTACGATAATCCTAGTATACGAATGCGCAGGATTAAATCTCCTAAGGTAGGCACCCTCACCCATTTCGTACACCATCCGCTCCTTCTCTCCCTCCTCATTGACATATTGCTTCCATCGAGGGTAAACCATTGCAAAGATATCCATAATTCGTTGCAAGTCCTCTTCGCTAGGAACTCCGTTAGACTCAAGTATGTTATCCACATCTGCCTCCAAGCGAATACCCGCTTCAAATTCCAAAAGATGTGAACGTGAGGCAAATATGGTAGAGGTCCTGCATACAATGTACTCTGGGAAATTCCGTCTCGCAATCTTGGCCAGGATTATTGTCGTAAGTGATTTCTCCGTCCACTCAGTAGATCGATAAAACACCAAGTGTACGCGTTCAAAAAGCTTGTAGGTAAGCGGAGACAAGCGAATACATGGTCCCAAAATGGCCAACACCTTGCTCAAAAAATGCTCGTTTCGATTTGAATTTTGCCGCTTCAGGTGTCCATTCTTGCAAGATCCAGCAGACTCCTGGTCAGAGATAGAAGCATCAGAATCGCGACTGTTCTGCCGGCTCAATCCAAGCGCCATCAGCCCAACCTGTTGTTGACTCGTTCGACATAGACCTTTCACGAGTTCTGCCTTATTCTTTCCCTGGATCTTAGCATCCTTGGCCAATGCTTTGAGTTCATCCAAGAGCAAAAGTGATGCTGCTTCTTCAACACTGTTAATGTAGTCTTTGGAGGCATCAGCAAATGTGAAGCTTGCTCCCAAGTTGAACCTCTCAAGGTCAAATCCCGGAACCAGCTCCTCGGTGTCTTGGCTGTTTTTCGTTGGCAGTTTCTGGATGGCTTGCAAGGCTGCAATGGCCTCTTCTGGCTCTGAAATATCGGAATAGTATCCTAAGCGGCTGGACCGATGCCATGCTGCGGTTTTTCTGAGAAAAAGGCGGACATATCTCCCACAAAGTTAGACTCCATGCACAGTGGTGCATAGCCATAGAACTTACAGATACTGTGCTTCGTATGACAATTCTTTCCACCTCCTGAAAACTTCCATCTCTTTCTCATCAAACAACTCCGATTCTTCTTCCAACACTGTATCGAGGGCGAGATTAAAGGCATCCACATATATTGAGCTGCGTCCTCTAATCCACAAAGACTTGGTATTTGCGGTAGCCCCATCATCGTCGGTCTCTTTTTGGGAAGACCTCGTCTGTTCATACTCCTCAATTGCATCGGCATCTGTCTGTGTTGGTGGCAGGACGTTCTCAAATGCAGTGGCTTCATGCAGGTATGAAGTATCCGCATCTTCACTGTGGTATGGCCCCCGCTTAGTCTTCTTCTGCGACTCATATCCACGGTCAGACTCTGAAGAGTCTGGGGAGTCTGGGCCTGGATTCTTGATTTCATCTTGCTTCACGCGCTTTGGCGCCCGCTCACCGGCACTATCATAGTGAGACGCAGACCGGCGGCTTTCATCGCTTGTGTCAGTCCTGCGGAAATGTGTCACAAACGCATCCATCGGTATCAGCACAATGCGGGACGCGACAGCGTTTCCTGCGACATGGACCGCTGTCGATCTGGGAGACGCGACAAAAGTGTGAAGTGCGAACACGAAGTCAGCTGACCGCGTACCGAAAGACGCTTTGCCTGAGCCACCTCAGCCACCACGGGCAATCAACGGGCGCGATCGCGGTCAACCATCCACAAACCCGAATATTTCTATGTGAGAAATCACTGGCAGCATGGCAGACGACATACCCAGGTCAGAAGCGACGCCAGAGGCTTCTCGCGCATCCCCTACGGTTGACAAGGCTCCGACCAGCAACATCGCGGTCACCGCGACGGCGGGGCACCAGCCGCCTTCGATCGATACGCCTCAAAAAGATGTTGTCATGTCCGATGCTCCAACCGACCAGGCAGCGGTGCGTTATTGGAGTGCAAAGCGCTCTGTTGAGCTATCGCAGCTGGAACGTCGTATTCCGCTAACACGACGACACGTAGTCACCGGCTCCTGCCAACCTAGCTCCTAGTCCAGCTCCAGCACGAACAGGCACTCCAGCTCTAGGTTCTCGAGCGCCATCTGTACACCCCGACCCTGGCTTTACCATGCCTTCAGAAGCACCTGCACATGGTGATTCCACAAGAAGATACTTGAATACGAAGGTAACTGGTGTACTACTCGAGGGTATGAAGCAGTTGGCCAAGAACCAGTAAGCAACTTCAAAAAAAAAAAAAGAGAGCAAGACACGCCCGTGTTTTTTTACTAACTCAGTTAGGCCAACAGACCCTCTGCGATTTCTAGGCGAATACCTTATTCAGAGGTCAAAGGAATTGGAGGGTAATACTAGCTGAGTAGTGCGGACTCGGGCGGGGGGCCATTATTGGACAAAACCACGCATAAGTAGGCGTTTAGGGAGCAATTGTTTAGGACACAATCAAAATGATACCAGTTTCCAATACAACGATTCAAAATTTAGGCAGTCAAATTGCATTTTTTAAGCTTATTTGACCATTCGTCACGGTCATCCAGACCAAGGACCAAGCATCAGGGCTTCTAAATGCAGGTTGTTCCATAATTTTCCTCCCTAACTCCGGGATTAAGGGAATCCGCTTTCCACGCGCTGCAACTATATCATCCTACTTCCCCGCTCTATGCGACAATGGTGGAGGCAGTAGCAGACTCGTACTTCCAGGTAGGAGGCAGAACGCCGACGGTCTTGTAGTAACGAGCCAGACGGTGGATTCGGGACTCGATGAGAATAAGACGGAACTTGGAGTCCTTGTCCTTGCGGTTGCGCTCGAGGTGCTTGCGGACGGAAACAGCCTAGAGGGTAGCATGTTAGCGCATTTCAAATAGGACCAGGGACCTGACGAAACCAAAATAGGAGCACATGCTCGACATACCTTCTTGATCAGCATGTACAGGTCCTCAGGAAGCTCGGGGGCAAGGCCTGTCAAAGTTCTCTCTGTCAGTCTTGACCGCACAGAGGCAAAAATAGAGATATGTTTCTCTTGGCAGATGTATATTTCCTTCACCACATCCGAATAAAAAGCCCCGAGGGTACCATACCGTTCGACTTCAGGATTCGCAGAATTCGGTTACCTAGCGATACTCAGTTAGTAACGAGAGACATTCCTCGTTCGCTCTTCAAGACGTACCGGTGACGATCTTGACCTGGGCAACACCGTGGGAGTCACGGAGAATGACACCAATCTGCGAAGGGGTAGCACCCTTTCTGGCAAGCTTGCAGATCTGCTCAACGACCTGCTCGGGGGTGGTCTTCAACCATGCAGGCGCGGCGCGAGAGTATGGGATCGCGGAGGCAGAAATGCCCTTTCCCTTGCTGTGAAGTCTACCCATCTTGTCTGTGTTGTCTTGCTGGTCGACAATGAAGGAGTGGTCGGGGAGTTCAGTTGGTAAGGTCGCGAGTCTCGATGTCTTGTGTGGAGCAGCAAATTTTCGCTTAGTTAGGGCAGAATGTGTGGGCAGTCGCAGGGACAGCCACAGCAGGGCAGCAGGAGTCATGCAGTCACATGCATTATCACGTGGGACCGGTCCAGGTATCCTTGTACCGTCATGTGGGGAGCTGGACGGCAGACTAACTCCCATAATTTTGGCTGCATGGCACTTCTTTTCTTCCTGTTTCCTCTTCGTCTGCATGGCTGCGCCGTATTGCATACCAAATCAATTGTCAATCAGCTGTCTATCAGCTCTTAATGCTAAATTGTAAGTCGACGCATTTTTATTGTGCCTACACGTATCCCAACGCGTACCTACATGATGATAAGAACACATTTGTTTCATTATTTCTGGTACCTCTTATGTTAGAGTCTTCGGACTCAATGAATGAACTGGACTTCTGATCTCTCGCCAACACTATACTTTTTACTTGTTTCATCAATTTCCACGTCAGAATAGCATTGACTAACAAGGACGAAGATTCTGCAGAGCTTATTAGCCGCTATTAGTCTAGAAAACGCGTGTCGATTTTTGCCGTAGTTGTGCTGTTGTTTTTAACCCCATTTCACACTCCCACGACTCCAGTTCCGCCCAGATCTGTTACACGTCGCATTTTTAGTCAGGCATCATCCTCATCACCCTACAAGCCTTACTGTTTTACAAAAATAAAAGAATACAGTTTTTTTTTTTAAAAAAATTCTCATTTCCCACATCTAGCTAGCCAACTTATGTGTCTGCCCTAGGTTGCTCGATGCACCATGAGCCATGAGTACCTAGATACTTTCACCAGGCACCCACGTCGAAATTTTCCTATGTATGACATTAGCTACGCATATACTGTGTAACGAGGCGGAGAAGGCTTACTTCAGGGAAGTACGTGGTAACGACTGTTCGGTCGGCAAACTTTCTGCCTGCCAATGCTGTCAATGCCTTATGGCAAGAGTCTGGCGTGTCAAACTTCACGAATATCTTGCCGACTCCGGCAGACTGTCGGCTGCCACCCACTGGGCGGGGAATCTTAAGTTCCAGGATATTTCCAAACTTGGAGCATTCCTCGCGGACATCCTCGCAGATTTCTAGTAACATAATCAGTATGACCAAAGCAACATTGTAGAAAACAAAAACGTACCTTCGTATTCTTCTGTGTCCATTAGCTCTTCTGGGGTCACCATATTGAGGAGTTGAAGCACCCGTCCCTTCTCGGCATCGGTAGAAGTCTGAGAGGCGAGACCGCTGATGGCTGTGATGCCAACATCGAAATTGGCAACCTGAGTAGGACCAATGCTAGCCTTTGCGACTTTCAGCTTCTTTCCCCCGACGTCCATGCCATTTAAGGCGCTCAGCGCGGGCTCGTTGGCAGAACCGGGCTCGAGATATTCCGCAAAAGCAATACCCTATCACATGTCAGTATACAGTGTTGATGCTTGGATGTCACTTAAGAAAACACTACCCTCGATTCTTCAGTACTGCGGTCTTTCACGAGAACAAAGGCCTTCGGCTTTCCAAATGCAGCGAGGAGTTCAATTATCTGATCCTCGGTAAGGAACGTCGGAATGTTCGTGATAGACAACTTGTGCACCGTGTCAGGTACGACATTTGATACGACATTGGGGTCGTAAGCCATTTCCTCGGGAATAGCTGGCATAACGTAGTCCTTGGGGCGTCGAATTGATAAACCCTGTTTCTCACCACCGTCTCCATTCATAGTATCGTCTGCCTCCATATTTATGCCGTCCAAGGCAAGAGCCACCGTAGCATCACCGGCATTCCTAAATTCCAAGACTGCAAAAGACCGGTCGGTCGAGAACTGGCAGAGGTTGCATGGATCTGAGCTCTCAATAACATTCAGGCCATTGAGCTGGAGGTTGAAGAAGGATATAAGGCTCTCCTCGCTGTTTCCTTGGGGAATATTGGATACAATGAGACGTTTTGCTTGACGAGAGTTGCTCGCTTTCAGACCAGCACTCGAGACGCCACCATTTGGCTCTTTCATAAAAGCTTGGAGCTTTGTAGGGTCCATCGGCTGCTGTCGTGGGGCTCCGGGCAATGGGAACATGCCCGACAGCTTTGCCTGTTCCGCCGTTACCAATTCGTACCCCGGTGGTTTGATATCCCATTGAGTCATCCTCCTCTTCCTTTCCAGAACCGGAATAATGTCTGTCAAGTCCGGGGTAGGTTCTCGTGGCTTTGCAGGAGATGGGCTTCTGCGACTTTCTTGTCGCGCAAAACCACCATCATCTCGTCGATCTCCGCCCCGACCACCACGGCGACGGTCATCGAAGCCTTCTCTGTCTCGCCTGTTGGGTCTATCGTCTTCATCGCGCCGGGCATCTCTGCGCGAGGAACCTCGATCTCGATCCCAATCGCGCTCTCCCCTTCGATCGCGTCCAGAATATCTGTCCTCTCGTTCTCTGTCGCGATGATTGCGGCTGGAGGAATAGGCATCTACATCACCACCATCTCCACGACGATGCCCACCACGATGGTCTGGTGACCTTGATCGTCTGCGATCACGGTGACGGTCCCCCCGATCGCGGTCTCTCTCACGGTCGCGGTCACGATCCCGGTCTCTATGGCGGTCGCGGCGGTCTTCTCGATCTCCCCTAGAAGTCTGTACGATTGTTAAATGAAGTTACTGCGGTGGCTTGAGAAACTTACAGGATAGTCCCGACCGCTTCGGCCCTCTGCTTTGACATGGCACGAGGTTAGCAACGCTCCCAAGTATTAAAGTTGATCAAATGATTTTCGGTGTACGAACCGCCGCGTGACGAGTAACTGTCCCCGTTCATTTTTCACGACAACAAGTCCCAACCTCGGGCGATCAATAGGCCGCACGAATTTGATGATTTGGGTATGTAGTGGGCAGCGTCGAAGATCTCGTTATGGCTTGGTGTTCCAGTGTCAACTGTTCGACGCGGGAGGCTGGAGCTTTTTCGCTGCGAGGCGCTAGCCTATTTTGGGCCTAGTTCAGCTGCTCGATGTGTGATTGTGGTGCCGGCAGAGCCCATGCAGCGGTTGATCCACGGGTGCAATGCCAGGGTGCTAGTAGTTACTCCGTACGGTAGTACGTACCTAATGTATCTTCAGACTGCAGGGTAAATCTATTCAATGATCTTCAGGCATTGCAGGTAAATCGAACCTCAGGACTGGGTGGTGAGTTGCCATTTTATCCATTCAGTCTGTCCCTTCTTTTCTTTGTCGCTCCTCAGGCAGTTACGTGATTGCGATTTCTATGTTTACGCAGTAATGTCTATAAAGCGAGCAACGGAGTGGCGGAAGTTGCCTATGAGCCTATCCGAGCTCTGCATCGACACCACACTGAGGTGTGGTCAGTCATTTAGATGGCGGAAAATGAGTGATGAGTGGTTAGTATCACAGTGACCATTCAAACAGCGTGGATGCTGACTGTTGGTCAAAGGACATGTACTCTCCAAGGCCGGATACTGTCTCTGAAGCAGGACGCTTCCCATCTCCATTACAGGGTTACCTGGCCGGAGTATCAGGATGCTCTCCCGACGCCGCCATCTCGTAGAGTCACAGATGAACTCAATCAAGACGATACGGAGGAGCTTGTTCGTCGATACTTTAGCTTGAACCTTGATCTTGGTTCACTATACGACCAGTGGTCAAAATCGGACCCAAATTTTCAGAAGAAAGCCCCTGAGTTTAAGGGTGTGCGGATTCTTAGCCAGGATGCCTGGGAAGCGCTGATATGCTTCATATGCAGCAGTAACAATAACATCAGTCGAATTTCTCAAATGGTAATTAGTGTCAAGTTAACCCGAGTATGTTTGCGTTTCCTAACCTCTACAGGTCCATAAACTATGCAATTATTACGGCCCCCTTATCGGCTACATTGATGGGGAACCCATGCACGACTTTCCCACTCCCGAATCTCTTACTGGCAAAAATGTCGAATCCCATCTGCGAGAGCTAGGTTTCGGCTATCGTGCGAAATATATTGCGGATACGGCTCGCGTAGTTGCCCTTCAGAAACCAGCCTCATGGCTTGAATCGCTCCGTAATCCTCGACACTCTGGGCCTAGACTGTCGTCAAGTGCGGGCAGTAGCAATCCAACATACAAGGGAGCCCACGAAGCACTGCTGTCATTAACTGGTGTCGGACCAAAGGTCGCTGACTGCGTATGTCTTATGGGTCTCGGTTGGGGTGAATCCGTTCCAGTCGATACACATGTGTGGCAGATAGCCCAGAGAGATTACAAATTTGGCAAGTCAAAAGCAAAGACGTTCAACAAAGCAATGTATGATGCAGTCGGTGACCATTTTCGGACCATTTGGGGTGACTATGCAGGATGGGCGCATTCGGTATTGTTTACGGCTGATCTCAGAGAGTTTTCAAATCGCACAGGCAAGACTCAAATGGTGGAAGGGGTCGAAGGAGTCGAACCGGTCCAGATGAAATCCGAGATCCAGGAAGAAGTAGTACTGAGTGGACCAAGAAAGAGGCAATCAGCTGTTGATGATATAACGAGAAGCAATGCAGTGGTAGAAAACGTAGGAGAGCGCAAAATTATCGAGGCGATCTCCTCACAGAAGCGCAGAAAGACTCGGGGGAGCTCCTAGAAGACGGGGAGGAAAACTGTACGTCCAGGCAAATACGGGTAGCTCTGATATCACAAGATCGACACGTGAAAATGGCCAATCATTTTGAATGGTTATATGAATTATTTCCAAGACACCAAGAGCCCAAGTATACCATTTCTGACGTGGACAAGATTGTACCAAGTGTTCTGGGCGGTCGGATAAACATCGGCAGGGGCTGGCCACTACAGCTCTCTTGAGACTTTTCGCCGCCTCAGCTTAGGCTAGCTTGGAAAGTCTCGTTTACGTTCAACCCCCAACCCCCATCGAGGCTGCTTATCCATGTGCAACGGGAACACTGGAACTTCGTCTTGCGATCTGGAACCGGGATGAGGTGAATAAAAGAAGAAGAATTTTCTGAGTCAAGATGTCCGACGCAGATTTCGACACGATCGCGAAGCTCCAGCGCGAGCGAAACGCTGCGAAGAAAAGTTCGCGCGCGCTGGATGCGTCAACTCAGCGCAACGACGACAGGAGGCAGAAGCTCACGGATAGCGCTGATAATGAACTATATGAGCATGATGGAGGTGATAAATTTGCAGGATACCACACGTCGCTGCCGATGGGGGATGAGGATGATGATATGGATGAAGACAATACCCGGCGGCTCGTGGGCCAATATACTGCATCGCGAGACATGATCGACGAGTTTGCCAGAGGGAATGGAGTTGAAGAAGATGATATTCTTGCGGGAAAAGGCGAGAAGAGCGGCCGCATTACCGACCGCGAAACCGACTACCAGAAACGTCGCTTTAATCGAGTTTTGACGCCTACTAGAGTCGATCCTTTTGCGGAGAACCGACAGGCCGGAGCCGCTGAGAATGGGGCAACCTACAGAGAAATCATGGAAGCCCGTGAACTGGATAAAGAGGAGGAACGTGTTCGAAAGGCTATTCAGGACAAGCTCAATGGCGAAGGCAACGAAGCCGACGCTCAGCCGACGTTGCGAGACGTGGACAAGGAGAACGCCGAGGCCGGATCGACTGAGGCTGTTACGGCAGGACGAAAACGAAAGAAGAGATGGGATGTATCATCTACACCAGCTGAGGAACAGCCTCAGGATAAGGCCGAAGAGGTGAAACCAAAGCGTTCAAGATGGGACCAAGCACCATCCATCGGCGTCGGAGAGACTACCAAAAAGCGTTCCCGATGGGACCAAGCTCCTTCAGCGACACCCATGGGTAACCAAGGACTCGCTACCCCGATGCACCCGACGCAAGCTCCCGGTGCCTTACCGCCGGCCTTTGGAAACGATATCTCTGCCCGCAATCTGCCCCTCAGCGATGAAGAGCTAAATATGCTACTGCCGGGTGAAAATGAAGGATATAAGATTTTGGAGCCACCTCCTGGGTATGAACCTGTTCGCGCCCCCGCGCATAAGCTAATGGCAACGCCGGCTCCAGCGACAGGCTTCATGATGCAGGATCCAGATCAAGTGAGACTAGGGGGCAGACCGATGCCGGCTGAGCTCTCTGGCGTAGGTGATTTGCAGTTTCTCAAGCCAGAGGATATGGCGTACTTTGGCAAGCTCAACGACGGAGCAGACGAGAACGCCCTGTCTGTGGAGGAGCTGAAGGAGCGCAAAATCATGCGGCTCCTGCTTAAAATCAAGAATGGAACCCCACCTATGCGAAAGACGGCCCTTCGGCAAATTACAGACAATGCGAGGAACTTCGGGGCCGGACCACTATTTGCTCAAATCCTACCCCTTCTCATGGAGAAGTCTCTGGAGGACCAAGAACGCCATCTTTTGGTCAAGGTCATTGATCGAATTCTATACAAACTGGATGATTTGGTGCGGCCCTATGTTCACAGAATTCTTGTCGTTATTGAGCCGTTGCTCATTGACCAAGACTACTATGCCCGAGTCGAAGGTCGTGAGATTATCTCCAACGTGGCAAAAGCGGCTGGTCTGGCGACTATGATTAGCGTAATGCGGCCAGATATCGACCATCCTGACGAATACGTGCGTAACACAACCGCCAGAGCTTTCGCGGTTGTTGCATCTGCTCTCACCATCCCAGCGTTGCTGCCCTTTTTGCGAGCCGTCTGCCGAAGCAAGAAATCATGGCACGCCAGACATACCGGTGTGAAGATTGTTCAGCAGATTGCCATTCTGATGGGCTGTGCTGTCCTGCCCCATCTCAAAGGTCTTGTTGAGTGCATTGCTCCCAACTTGAACGATGAGCAGACAAAGGTTAGGACCGTGACCAGTTTGGCCATTGCAGCTTTGGCAGAGGCATCCAACCCATACGGTATTGAGAGCTTCGACGATATTTTGAACCCTCTGTGGACCGGTGCGCGAAAACAGCGTGGCAAGGGGCTTGCTGGCTTTCTCAAGGCTGTTGGATACATCATTCCTCTCATGGACGAAGAGTATGCCAATTACTACACCAGTCAAATCATGGAGATTCTCTTGCGAGAATTTTCTTCCCCGGATGAGGAGATGAAGAAGGTTGTGCTCAAGGTTGTCTCCCAGTGCGCAGGCACGGAAGGTGTTACGGCGGGCTATCTCAAGGAACACGTGCTCGATGAGTTTTTCAAGAGTTTCTGGGTGAGGAGAATGGCCCTTGACAAGCGGAACTATAAGCAAGTTGTGGAGACGACGTTTGATATTGGACAAAAGGTGGGTGTCAGCGAGATCCTGGAGAGAATCGTCAGCAACCTAAAAGATGAGAGCGAGGCGTACCGCAAAATGACGGTGGAAACCACTGAGAAGCTCGTGGCTAGTCTTGGAGCTGCAGATATCGGCGAGCGCTTGGAGGAGAGACTGGTGGACGGCATTCTGCATGCGTTCCAGGAACAGAGCGTCGAAGACGTCGTTATGCTCAACGGCTTCGGCTCTGTAGTCAACGCCCTGGGCACACGATGCAAGCCGTATCTGCCCCAGATTGTCGGCACGATTCGCTGGAGGCTGAACAACAAGTCTGCCACCGTACGACAGCAGGCCGCCGATCTCATTTCGCGAATCGCCATGGTCATGCAGCAGTGCGGCGAAGACGCCCTCATGGGCGAGCTTGGCATCATCTTGTACGAGTACCTCGGCGAAGAGTACCCCGAAGTTCTTGGATCCATCCTGGGCGCCCTGCGATCCATTGTCACGGTCGTAGGTATCAGCCAGATGCAGCCTCCTATCAAGGACTTGCTTCCTCGCCTAACGCCCATCCTTCGCAATCGTCACGAGAAGGTCCAGGAAAACACCATCGATCTTGTGGGACGTATTGCGGACCGTGGGCCCGAGAGCGTCAACGCCCGTGAATGGATGCGCATCTGCTTCGAGCTGCTGGACATGCTCAAGGCTCACAAGAAAGGTATCCGACGAGCCGCCAACAATACGTTTGGTTTCATCGCCAAGGCCATCGGTCCGCAGGACGTCCTCGCCACGCTCTTGAACAACCTCCGTGTCCAGGAGCGTCAGTCCCGAGTCAACACCGCCGTCGCCATTGGCATCGTCGCAGAAACATGCGCACCCTTCACCGTCCTCCCAGCCCTGATGAACGAGTACAGGGTCCCCGAGCTCAATGTGCAAAACGGCGTGCTCAAATCCCTCTCCTTCTTATTCGAATACATTGGCGAAATGGCCAAGGACTACGTCTACGCCGTAACGCCCCTCCTAGAAGACGCTCTCATTGACCGGGACCAGGTCCACCGCCAAACAGCCGCATCTGTCGTCAAGCACATCGCCCTCGGCGTCATTGGGCTCGGCTGCGAAGACGCCATGGTACATCTGCTGAACCTCCTCTTCCCCAACTTGTTTGAGACCAGCCCTCACGTCATCGACCGCATTGTCGAAGCCATCGAAGCTATCAGGATGGCGGTCGGGCCGGGTATCGTGCTTAACTACGTCTGGGCAGGTCTTTTCCACCCGGCCCGCAAAGTCCGCACCCCATACTGGCGCCTCTACAATGATGCCTATGTCCAGTGTGCTGATGCCATGGTCCCGTACTATCCGAACCTAGATGAGGAGAAGATTGACCGGCCTGAATTGGCGATTGTATTGTGAGGGGAGAGGAGGGGATATCCTTGGTTGAATGTATGTTTCTATGAACAGCCAGCGCGTTGGGCTGGACGAATTGAAAAAAAGACGGCTGGAGTGTATAATTGGTCCTTTGCAAAGTGTTTTTGTTTTTTGGTCTGGGGTAATTACGCTGGGGCATTTTTGTAATCGTGGAGAAAAACGGATTGCGGAAGCATTTAATGCACAACAGGCGTTTTTCTTCCTCTTTTTGCTATATAGCCAGAACTGTATTATTTTCGAATTCTGCCCGTGTCCATCTGTGTTGCCGGCCGTGTAATGTGGCACGTCTTGGGAAGGGCAGAGAGTATGTTGCATTCTTAACCCATGGGTAGCTTCTGCTAACGAGATCGTCAGCTTCGGGTACCTCTATCTGTTGTCTCTTGTAGGCGGGAACTCAACTCGGCCATGGCCCCCAGAGATGAGAGAGACGGGCGAATCAACAATTTGTGTTTTCTACGGCGGTGTCGGTTGCTCAGCGTCAGGCATGTGTCCTTGCAACATGAGGCTCATCAAGGCATCATTCTGCTCCGGCCTGGATGAAGGAAACAGGAAAAGTAGTCCCAATCAGTTGGCCTCTGGGTTTGGTCGTCGACGCCTCGTGATTTTCGGTATGAGAAGGAGGGCGTACACACGCGTGAGTTGCATCTGCCAAGACTCGGCGTTGCGAAAGAGATATACTTACTCCAGGGATCTTTTTGCCCAGCCTTGCAATTTGACCTGTTCTCGGCGGGCCAATCAAACGTACATTGACCAAGAATATAATCTTCATCACGTCACGGAGTCCCCGAACGTCAACTACGTATGGCCACCACACCTAAAAAAAATCACAATCCACTGCCTTTCCTTCTGGTATACGCCAGTTGTTCACCCAAAATAACGCATCCTAGCGTGCCTCTACACTTCCAAATTACACAAGACATGGAATGGTCCTTGCCACGAGTCAACAAAGCCGCAAGCGCCACGT